TTTGCTTCATACAATAATTACGCTACCTTTTGAAATCATTATGCTATTGAGCAGCTTGTAGACTTGTGGCCCTTGTGGGGCTAATGCTTGAAATAAATAATGATAATTCTAATTTTTATCCAACGTTAAATTGATTTATTGTATTGATTGATCCTCATAACCCATTTTTGATCAATTAGCTCCAAGCCATTCACCGTTGTCTAAAGTACACTTATAGAATCGAAATTACAACTTCAATACCCAAAGCAATTTATCATTGTGCCAATAAATCGTAACGAAGCACAAGCCATCCAATATTTTCAGCAGTAACAGTAAATTAGCAGCCAGTATTAGTTTTTCTGTGGAATTTATATAATAATTACCGAAGCAACTCTGATTTATGGGTATGAAAGAGAAAGCAAAACGGTTCACTAATTATACGTCAGATAAAAGATATCATTAGATGGAATGTTGTAATAGTGTGTACTGCAGTGTATGTACAAAACAACCAATTTATATTTACTCTGTGCTCTGTACGTGGTCATTTATTATGTATACCTTCTTGCATATTAGTCCGAGAGAAACTAGTTTTTAGAACTCCAATATAAATTAAACGGATAGAGTCAGTCAAATAGTCCATAGACCTTATTTACCTGCCGGTGAACTCAGAGAGCAGAGGCAGAGTCGCATATCGAAAATATTTCTTGAGATATATACTCCTCCACGCCTTTCAACCCCTAACCCATAATTTTCAACCCCTACAATTTTGTTTCTGCGAATGATCCTCTGAATTGTCAAAAAACCAAGATTGACCTGTTTTTTTTTTCGTTTTTTTTGTCCCGTAGTTCTGCCGCCTCTGAACCGATTTCCAAAAGCTACAAAACTTTTTCGTCCTCGGCATACTGGTAACCTTGAAAATCCAAAAAACATAATATTTTATTTACGATTTTTTTCGTCAGTGCTGCAGGAAAGATTGACAGATCTTAACAATCTTTTAAAATTTTAAATTTCCACTTTTGGGCAAAAATATAGCATGTCAGTTTGCTCACTGGACGCGTTCAAAGAATAAGTACGTGGACCTCTCTGAACAGAACGGTTCAGTATGCAGTGAGCGAGCTGCGAAAAGTAACACTCTGAATGCAAACATATTGTAACGAAAACACCGTTTTTCTAATTCAAAATCTAATTTGTTACTCTACAACTAGTTTTTTTACAAATTCATGACTATGTCGACTGGACTATCACGTTTCGCACTACTGACTCAACACCCGCTATCGGTTCACTCTCTCCGCCCTCTCTGTATGTTTGAATCGACGAATCCAGAAACGTTACCGCGTTTTCCAGACTCTTCGTCGAAGCTGGTAGATAACGGTCTATACTTCTCGATGCATGACGAACTTGTGTCAACTGTAGTTTTTCCGGAAAGTTTTCAACTGTATCACTTCAAAGAACACAACAATGCGATCGGAACAATAGCCGAAGTATCACAATGACGTCTTTCACCACAAACCGGCTATCGTCTCCAGTGCCAGCAACCATTGAACAACTAGCCAGATTGCCGTCTGTTTGGTGTGAAGGCTCGGATTTAGAGACGAATATACGTGTCGATCCAGGTTTCCCTCGCTAGTTGGCGAGTTTCGGCGTTTGTTATTTAAACTCTAATTCATTACTCCCACGCTAATTTGTAACAACACTTGCAACTAATTTTTTACAAATTTATGACAATGTCGACTGGTCTATCACGCTTCACACTGCTGATCATCATCCGCTATCGGTTCACTTTCTCCCCCATCTGGTCATGTTTTTATCTTCAAGTCGACGAACCCAGAAACATTTCCGCGTTTTCCAGACTTCGTCGAAGCTGGTAGGTAATACATACTTCTCGATACATGACGAACGTTCTCGACGCGTGGTCGCGTAATTGGTTGCCTAAGCGTCGATGCTATGAGGGTGTCTCATTTTTGCTTGTTGCATTACTTGTATCAACTGTAGTTTTTCTGGAAAGTTTTCAACTGTATCACGTCAAAGAACACAAAAGTGTGATCGGAACAATAGCCGAAGTATCACAATGACATCTTTCACCACAAACCGGCTATCGTCTCCAGTGCCAGCAACCATTGAACAACTAGCCAGATTGCCGTCTGTTTGGTGTGAAGGCTCGGATTTAGAGACGAATATACGTGTCGATCCAGGTTTCCCTCGCTGGCTGGCGAGTTTCGGCGTTTGTTATTTAAACTCTAATTCATTACACCCACGCTAATTTATAACAACACTTGCAACTAATTTTTTACAAATTTATGACAATGTCGACTGGTCTATCACGCTGATCATCATTTGCTATCGGTTCACTTTCTCCCCCATCTGGTCATGTTTTTATCTTCAAGTCGACGAATCCAGAAACATTTCCGCGTTTTCCAGACTTCGTCGAAGCTGGTAGGTAACACATACTTCTCGATACATGACGAACGTTCTCGACTCGTGGTCGCGTAATGGGTTGCCTAAGCGTCGATGCTACGAGGGTGTCTCATTTTTGCTTGTTGCATTGCTTGTATCAACTGTAGTTTTTCTGGAAATTTTTCAACTGTATCACTTCAAAGAACACAACAATGCGATCGGAAAAATCGCCGAAGTATCACAATGACATCTTTCACCACAAACCGGCTATCGTCTCCAGTGCCAGCAACCATTGAACAACTAGCCAGATTGCCGTCTGTTTGGTGTGAAGGCTCGGATTTAGAGACGAATATACGTGTCGATCCAGGTTTCCCTCGCTAGTTGGCGAGTTTCGGCGTTTGTTATTTAAACTCTAATTCATTACTCCCACGCTAATTTATAACAACACTTGCAACTAATTTTTTACAAATTTATGACAATGTCGACTGGTCTATCACCCTTCGCACTGCTGATCATCATCCGCTATCGGTTCACTTTCTCCCCCATCTGGTCATGTTTTTATCTTCAAGTCGACGAATCCCGAAACATTTCCGCGTTTTCCAGACTTCGTCGAAGCTGGTAGGTAATACATACTTCTCGATACATGACGAACGTTCTCGATTCGTGGTCGCGTAATTGGTTGCCTAAGCGTCGATGCTACGAGGGTGTCCCTTTTTTGCTTGTTGCATTGCTTGTATCAACTGTAGTTTTTCTGGAAAGTTTTCAACTGTATCACTTCAAAGAACACAACAATGCGATCGGAAAAATCGCCGAAGTATCACAATGACATCTTTCACCTCAAACCGGCTATCGTCTCCAGTGCCGGCAACCATTGAACAACTAGCCAGATTGCCGTCTGTTTGGTGTGAAGGCTCGGATTTAGAGACGAATATACGTGTCGATCCAGGTTTCCCTCGCTGGTTGGCGAGTTTCGGCGTTTGTTATTTAAACTCTAATTCATTACTCCCACGCTAATATATAACAACACTTGCAACTAATTTTTTACAAATTTATGACAATGTCGACTGGTCTATCACGCTTCGCACTGCTGATCATCATCCGCTATCGGTTCACTTTCTCCCCACTCTGTGCATGTTTTTATCTTCAAGTCGACGAATCCAGAAACATTTCCGCGTTTTCCAGACTCTTCGTCGAAGCTGGTAGATAATAGATACTTCTCTTTACATGACGAACGTTCTCGACCGGCTATCGTCTCCAGTGCCGGCAACCATTGAACAACTAGCCAAATTGCCGTCTGTTTGGTGTGACGGCTTGGATTTTTTACAAATTTACGACTATGTTGACTGGTCTATCACGTTTCGCACTGCTGATCATCATCCGCTATCGGCTCACTTTCTCCCCCCTCTGTGCACGTTTTAATCTTCAAGTCGACGAATCCAGAAACATTTCCGCGTTTTCCAGACTCTTCGTCGAAGCTGCTCGATGCATGTCGAACGTTCTCGACGCGTGGTCGCGTAATTGGTTGCCTAAGCGTCGATGCTACGAGGGTGTCTTATTTTGGCTTGTTGCATCACTTGTATCAACTGTAGTTTTGCTGGAAAGTTTTTAATACTGCCGCTCCGACTGTATCACTTCAAAGAACACAAAAATGCGATCGGAACAATAGCTCAGGTATCACCATGGCATTCAACCATTGAGCAACTTGCCGGGTGCCATTTCTTTGGTGTGCTGATTTCGGTGAGACTCTTCTCTTGGACTAATATAAGTTTTACGCGATGAATTAACAGCACAAGACGAAAAATCTGCCTCTGTGATACTAACAGGAGATAATAAATAATAATTACGACAAATTAATTATCAATTCTCGGTAATAATTACCTAGGTAGATTTACGATCCGACATCCACTAATATACATTTCTATCCAACGTTCCACCGGCGACGTGTTACGGAAAAATGGTGGTTAATGGCCTACTCATTTTTTCAAAGGAATAATCAACTCGCCAAGATTTATATCTAAATGCCGTATTTATTAAAAATATAATTAAAGTTAATGCTGATATTAGTTCTGGGATTATAATACTTAAGTGGATTGTGACAGTATTATGACTTGCTATGAAGTTCTTTTCTCTGTTCGAATCTATAATTTTATTATATAGGTGCAGTTTGATCAACAATCAGCGGCGGTGCATTTATAAGGAGGTTCACAACGCAGGAACAAAAAAAAAACACAATTTTGTTATTGAAATATGAAAAATAGCTAAAATTGTTTTAAAAGTATGTTAGTTTATTGTAAATAGTAGTTTAAAATTATTGTCAAAAAAGTAATTACCAATAATCATACAAAATCCTGATTTGGAAATAGGGTCCAAAGCTCACTAGGAGAAAATTTCAATCGTCAATTGAGATTTATTTTATTCTTAAGCATCCTATTCAGTGACATATAAGCTACTCAATATTAGTAGTAGTAATAGTATAAGTTGGTTACAATCAGAGTCAGCTAAGGAATTAAATAAGCTTTCACCGAATATCGAAAGATTCGCTATCGCCAACAAAATTAGCACAAAGACAAACTTCCTTGATCAATTTTTTATCAACCGCTATATAATTCAATAAAATCTTGTTCCAGGTCCTGATATTCCCGGGTTCCTCCTTCAACCTTTCAGAAAACCAAAGAGGATAAGGACTGCATTCAGTCCATCCCAATTACTGAAATTAGAACACGCTTTCGAAAAGAACCATTATGTGGTAGGCGCCGAGAGGAAACAATTGGCGCAGTCACTGTCACTAACGGAAACACAGGTAAACACTCCATATCAATTCTTATTTCAAAGAGCCCCAATTGCATCATATAAGCAGAAGATGATATTATTTGACACCAATGAGATCTAACCCGCCTTTTTACAGAACTTACGAAGTATCAACCAGGGCTTTTTATATTCAATTAGGATTCGGAATTCTATACTCGGCTACAACATTATAGTTAAACTGGTGGATACCGGTGTACTTCCTCTGATTCCAACCATCAATTATCTAGTCTAATCGGTAATCGATGTACAGTTATAAAGTCCAGAGAATAAAACTGAAACTGACTATACATCAACAAATATCTTGATTGCGGAGATAACGCCAAGAGGCAGTAGCGTGCGGAATATAGAATCTTTGCGAGGCGATGTTGAGTTGGTTCGCCTGAAAATGATAAACATTGACACCTTGAGGAAGCCTATTGGAGATCCTAACATCTCGAAAACCATTGTTTTGCTTTTTAGTGTCAAATTTCATGCTTTTTTTTTCTAATACCATTCTAGGAATGCGTTGGCGATTTGGTTAATGTAAAGAAAACGATAAAGAAACAAAAGTTTGCAATAATGCTTTGGAGTTTTATTAATGGATGTTTGAAGATTATTTAGGAACTCTGAAAACATTTTTTTTCATATCATTTGTGTGTGAGACACGTGTAGACACTGTGGTTAGGTGTTGTCAGGCATGGCTTCGAGAAGGCCGTACGCAAAGAGCAAGGGGCACTGGACGCCGCCGTAGAACAACAGACCGTGAAGATCGCCGCCTAAGATTATTGGCCTTAAGGGACCGTTTCTCCACTACCAGGTCCATTGCAAATGAATGGTTTGCAGAACACGGAAGACCTATTGGCATGCGAAGTGTTTACCGACGAATGGCTTGTTTTCATACCGGCCACACTGGGTCCTCCCTTTAACTCGAGAACACCGACGTAATCGCCTTGAGTGGTGCAGACAACGGTCACTCTGGGATCAGGAATGGAACAGTATTATCTTTAGTGACGAGTCTCGATTTTGTTTAGGCATGCACGATGGTCGTGCCAGGGTTAGAAGGCGACGTGGTGAAAGGAGGAATCCACAGCTTTTTGTTGAAAGACATGTTCATCACACTGTTGGAGTTATGGTTTGGGGTGCTATAGCTTATGGTTCCAGGTCACCTTTAATCTTCATCAAAGGTAACATGAACGCGCAGCGTTATATCCATGAAGTTCTAGAACCCCATGTTTTACCGTATCTTGACACCCTGGCAGATCCAACTTTCCAACAAGATAATGCCCGACCACATGTTGCAAGAGTCACAATAGACTTCTTTCAACATAATGATGTCACATTGTTACCATGGCCACCAAGATCTCCCGACTTATCCCCAATTGAGCACGAGTGGGATATGATGGGTAGGAGATTGCTCAATTTGCAACGTCCTCCTCAGACTCTAGAAGCACTTCGAGAGGAGTTGGTGGTTGCCTGGAATGAGATACCACAGGAGGACATTGACCACCTGATCAGTAGCATGCCTAGGCGCGTTGGAGAATGCGTAGCACATCAGGGTGCATCCACACATTATTAAAGGTCAAAGGGCTTTAAAGCAGTGCAATCATATTGAAATTTTTATCATTTACTTATTATGCTTCATTAAGTACTTATACAAAGTTTTATTAAAATAAAACCATTTAAACTGGGTGTTCGGATTTATATGTCATTTAGTATATTAACATTAGAGAAAGGAACATAGTTTGTTCAGAATAAACCAAAACGACCTAAAAAAAAGGTTGATCCGGAGCAGAAAAAAACATTTTTAGAATTTCCCTGAAATTTCTGAAGCAATTTTGGGGATGAAAACATGCAGACTCGTTAAAACGCGTCCTTTTTGAATCAGATCATGCAAACAAACAGAATCAAAATATTTTTCCTATCGGATGCAAAGATACTGGGCTGTAAGTGAGACACTATTCACTTTTCTTATACCGAAGCAACCGCGCAGGCAGAAGTCTAAGGGCGACAATCTTCAATGACAGGTACTCTACAGAAAAGTTTCATGTCGTTAGCATATACAGGGTGTCCGCAAAGTTGGGGTTTTCCTTTACACGACGTGTAGATCTTGAAAACATAAGCAATTTTTCTTAGTACCATATACACCAATGTCTTAAGGGAACCGAGATAAAGGGCTCTGCAACATCAAAAATATCTGAATACCGTCTGTAGCCGCGACCCGGGACATCACCGATTGGTACAAGGTCTCAACCAGACGGCAGAACTGGGTCGGGGTCAGTGTGTCAGGTCAGTATGCAACCTTCAACCGACGGTTACGGTCACGCGTGTAGAGATAATCGCGTAGACGTGAATCCCTCAACAAGCACTAGAGACGTGGCGAGAGAAGTGCAGGTATCAAAAACTAAAGTGTGGCAAACGCTGCGTGAAGAGGGGCTGTATCCGTTTCACGTCCAACGTGTACAATCCCTTCAACCTGACGATTTTCCAGCAAGAGTGCGGTTTTGTGAGTGGTTGTTGCATCAACATGACAATAATTCGGACTTTTTGAAGTGCATATTGGTGACAGACGAATCTATGTTCACGCGTAATGGGGTGAATAACTTTCGCAACACTCATGTTTGGTCAGTAGAAAATCCGCACATTTTCAACAAACATTTTCGGGGAATGTTTGGGCTGGCATGGTGAACCTAGACCTAGACTTTTTACGCAACATTTTGCCTTCCTTGTTTGCTTGCGTCTGCTCGGTAGCGCATCAGCTGATTTCATTTTCTGTTGGAGCGGTATGATTTCGGGCAGAGATGTACTTAGCCCTTCTCGTCAACTGGAGAGTGAGTACTTTTTCCTTTATTTTTTTTTACTTGGTCGCCCTCGTTTCACTACACATTACCTTTGTTATTTCAAGGGTTAGTTGTTTCTGAAAAGGAAAACCCCAACTTTGCGGACACCCTGTATAAAAACATCAACATCGGGAAAATTAAAAAAGATAATAAATCATAGTGGTCCGAAATTACATCCTTGAGGAACATCGAACATAACATACTGTTTCCTGTCAAATAAATACGATCTGAAAAATAGTATTTAAGAGAAACATAGGAGCTAAGACCGCGATTCCTGGAGACAGGGCCGTGTTAAGCCGGGGCCCTGGGCCCACAGAAGCTTGGGGCCCAAAAAAAAAAAAATCGAAGACAGGCGTACTCCTAATAAAACATATTTATTGGATTACAAATTGCTTTACAACAATATTATTGGCTTTTTCCGTGATTTCATTTGGGCAAAATCTTCAATGATGTCGTCAAACTCCGGGTGTTGCGAAATGTCACTCTATAGGCGTAAGTGACTAACTGGTAAGGCGTTCCTGTGATATGGACGTTCTTGATTCATTTTTTGTTCTCTTCACATTTGAAAAAGACCGCTCTCCGCTGCAGTTAGTGACCATTAGACACAGGAAAATTCTTGTTGCAATTTCCACATTTGGGAATGTTCCCTCCTCCAGTGTATCCCTTCTCAAGAGGCTATGCAGTGCCGGAATACTTTCAGCAGATTCATTTTTCAAGGTCAGCAGATAATGTCCCAAATGTGAACATTCTGATGTCAGTTCAGCTTCACTGATACGGGGATGTGGCTGTCTATGCATACCTGCATCAGTACGGTTGGAGTTATGACGAATAGATGACACTGTTATCGACTACTTTTATGAATAAAAGTTGTAGTAGTCTATGTCTCTATGTGATGGCCAGATGGCGCAATCTGTAGCTTCGCTAAAATTTTGATTATCATTCACAGAATTTGAATCAACACATTGCCGAGGCCAGAGAGGAAGTCAGCTACCCATCTGCAAAGCATCTCCGGAAGGCTCGCTGACTTTCATTAGTGACATTTGACAGGAAACTATGTCATTGATTTTTCAAGATTTCGGTATCTAAAATCGTTAGCTCTCCCTGTTTGTATATTATTATGGTCACTGTTGCTGTTCCAGAATTCCTGGCGTTTCTTGGTCCCCGCAAGAAAGTCCAAGCCGTCTATGATCCGGCCAGCGTCGTAAGTCGTAACTTCCAGTTAGAATGCAAATGAAAGGGGCACTTACAGTCACAATTAATAACGAATCAAGTGTCGTAACTTGGATGCGCGTATATCAAACTGACTGCTAGAGACGGTCAGTTTACTAGGTTGGAAATTAATTTAGAAGCAATTAACTACGTGGAAGTACCAACTGGGAGACTGGGACAAGAAATTTGTTCTGCCATCCACTATGTAGAATGTACTGTAGTAGTGGCAGGCACTGACTTTATTAATTCCAAATCTTATCTTCGATTTACTGCGCCTGCTCAAATGTCAAATTCGGCCAGGAGTTATTAGTGCCGGGCTTCCTAATCTGCAGCCCTAAAATTTTTTTATTTACTCCAACCTCTATGAAGGGCTAAGGCCTAAATACCCATGGGGTACCGTGGCGCTATAGGGGGATACAGGGGAAAGGGGGACCGCCACACGGACTCTGGCGCGAGAACACGTGTGCATGCTTATGCGTGGAAAATAATAAACCAATATAAAATAGCGTTAATACCAACCAGATCAACAAAACTCCGCTTGTTCACTTCTCCGGCAAATTTTGTTGCGTACTTTGGACTGGTACAGAATTTAGACAATAAAAGTGGGTGGGAGAGTAGTCGCATGCGCACTGAGCGGGTTGGCAGTGTTGCCGCGATCCTTTCTTAAAGTTACAGATTTTTTCATAAGACGTTTACTTTATACCACGTTTTCAAAGACTGCCCGAGTCGTCTAGGGGGTAATTACCCCCTTTACCCCCCCCCCCGTGGGAGCGCCAGTGCTATCGCCCTAGCTCCCGATCTGACCCCCTCCTCTATCGTCGTTGCTTTATCCTATTGGCCGGATCCAGGCTTCGTTATGGGGATGAAATTTAGAAGCAATAAAAATTAATGTAAGCTGGATAACGGACGACGGGTGGATTTCTGCGCATTTTCCGTCAGCGTATTTTGCGCCCGTCTGTTTGCCCCT